GGATGAGCTAAGTGTCGATCTTGAACCTGTTGAAGAATGAGCTAATGATTTATAGGCAGTGACTTGATTAAGGAAAGCCACTGGACATACAAACCGGCTTTTACTTGAATTTAGTTGGTAAGCTACCTAATATAGAGGTGAATATAGTTCCAGTTGTGAGTTTTTACTCGAGTTGCCTTACCTTGTTATGCCAGGGAAATCGATAGAACCTTGGAAAAGTAGTGTAGTGATTATGGCAGAACTAAACTTCTGAACAAAATCGACCGAACTAGACCCGAAATGAATTGAACCGAATCGAGTGCCCGAACAGGTATCTAAATCGAGAATCGATGAGGTTTGGTTCGATTTTTAGTTCTAGATCAAGAACCGCATAACAGAATAAGAACATAATCTCCATAATTTTTTTAATCGTAAATAAGTCAAATTATTTTATTTTTCTAAACAAATTTGTTAACTAATTAATTTGGCCCCAAATCCAAAATATGATTTACTATTTTTAATTTCCAATCAAGTTCAACTAAATTGAATTGACCTAAATTTTATCAAAATCTCTTATTCTACCGTAGTGTTGTTTCTGCCGTTATATTATTGTGAGCTTGTCATCTTCCTCTTCATGTAATTTTAACAATCAAATCAATGAATAACTCAATAAAGAGAGACGCAAAAGATATCATGAAATTTGACTACACTATTTTGTAAGAGATAAAATTGAATATGCTATAGTTGAATTAATATAGCGTTGTATATATATAAAAAAATTATTATTGTACGGAACTCGGGAACCAATTGAATCGAATGGAACCAAATCCGAATGGTTCCACAATTAAATTTGGACTAGATGGTTTCACTTACTAAATACCTGAAAATTCGAGTTCGGTTCAGCTATAAAGAGGACGAACCATATCGAATCGGATCATATCCAGTCTTGATACCGACCATATTTGATGTACTTTAATTAAAGATATAATTGTTGATCTCGTTCTTTGTACAATAAACGTGAACAATAGATATCGGGTCCACTCGCGTTCTCTTAAGCTAATTTCAACAAGCGTAGAACGATTGTCGATCGACTATAAAATAGATTTGTACGTGGGAGAAACTTTATAACACGAGACAAAAATATTTGGGCTTCAATGAAATGTTTGAGATAAATAATGCTATAATGAATGACCACGAAGAGCCGAACTCAAAATCTAGGTCACAATTCAAACACTAAAAAATTCAAGATTAAACAAAAAGAAAGAGAATATATGGCTTGTAGTCAATGTTTTTGCATTACCCCCAAATGACACAAATGAAGGATATTTATAGTGTTACACGCAACTTCATCTCCTTTACCGAAGCGTACATTCTAAATATCAATTTTGACTCCACTTGCATGTAGTGTATTAGATGTCTCAAAAACGAGGCAGCCACCCATGATTTATGCTGACATATCGACCTTTGTGCTCATTACAACAGTCCAACCAATCATTCTAAAAGGATTTCATAAATTCAAAATTTTCAAATGTGGATCGTCACTAGCTTTAGTTGAGCCTCAGATTCTACTTCGTTGAAACTCGCCACTTCGACAAAGAAGCTTCATTTGGACTCTAGTAGGTCCTACTCCACATGGGATGTCACATGACTTCGGCAGAAGGTGCTTCGCTGGGTCAGCTGAGCCACGCTCGATAGGTTCTACTTCACGTGGAATGTCACATGGCTTCAATGGAAGGTGCTTCGGTGAGTCGACTGAGCCACGGGGGAACCTATGTGGCGAATCATAACAATAACCGAGTATTTCTCCAAGGGTACTTCTATTCGGTCATTCGTCCTCTAATAATGACTAGTCATGTAAAATTAATCTTGAAACTATAACTTAGGCAAATTTCTTTGAAAACATTTTTTATTAAATATAAAATTTCACATCGATTAAATATGAAAATAAAAATATTAATTAACTTGCAAAAGGTTGGATTACTACCTATAACAAGATTGACATTCCTAATGGAGCATCAAATCTTAGTTCTTGTTCGCGAGTGTTTATTTGAAATTTAAGCAATAAATCTCACAAAATGTGTGAATAACAATTGATTAAAATAAGTGATGTTGTGAACCTCATGAAATATGGGAATAAAAGATAATTGATCATCCTTTGAATAATTAAAAAACTTTAAATTATTTTTATTAATAAAATTCTTATTTTAGCCCCTATTTCAAGAGTATTCTTATTTGATCCTCATTTTTTAAAATTTATTTTTAATTACAAATTCTCTTAATAAAATAATTTTATATGTAAATTAATTTTTTTTCTACTTTTTAACTACATATCTTTTTAATTCTATTAATAACTTTCTAAATTTAAAATCGTGGACCCGTGTCCAACCACGATCTTGCTACTTGTACATCACATTCTATATCGGGGTGTACACCCCCCTCACATGAGGGTGGAATCCGCTTAGATTAAAAAATAATTTATGCAATGAGTCCCACACCCCATGTAAAAGGGGTGTAGCTCATTATGTACAATTTGTGGCATTTTTGGTCCAAAAATTAGGCGAGCATGAAAGAAAATCCGTCGGCGAAGAGGCAGTGAAATCAGTTTGGTTGGGATTAACAAAGGTTCTGCACTCATTACATGACACGTAGTTTTTGTGTGGGCCCACATGAGATTCTAAAATACAGATGTTTCCCACACGACACCGTCTTTACACTTTTCTAATGTCGGGAAAAATATCTAAGGATCATTCTACTTTGTTAAAAGGAAACGGACAAAAAGCTGACAGATATATATGTGGCATAGATAATTAAATAAAAAAATTGACTATCTTTTAAATTGTGTTATGTATATGACAAGACATTTGACACTGTAGCATGATTGAAAATCTAGACCACATTAACACCCAAGACATTAAATTAAATAATAAAATATGGTAGAATAAATATTAATATTCTATAATTTCATAATAATAAAAACATATTGGTGCAGTAATTCTCTAAAAACAATTTTTCAAATAAGCAAATTTAAGTCGTTAATCTCTAATAAAAATTGACGAGGACTCTATTAAGCTGATGTTATAGAATTCCATCTAAACTTAAAAGCAGCGTCAAACAAAGTGACTCGACAAGATATATATTTTCTATACATCAATAGATATGATTTTCCAAACATATTTAGATAGTAATATTGAGTTGTCGATATAATTCATTGAAGAATGATTTTTAGTTTATTGATTTATTTATTAGACAATAGTGCAATGTAAACAACAAATCTTTCAAATTACATACACACGTTCTCTCTTTCTCACACACACACACATTTGGGTCAACTAGTCAGAATTGAACGTGCATTACACGTTATTATGAAATACTTTATAAATGTTATAAAAATAATATTTGATACCAATTTGTTAGAATGATTTGATGAGTTTCAAATGAACTAAAGAAAATAAAAATTTAAGATAAGAAAATTAGACACTCAAAACTCAACTTTTATTATTCAAATTTTTTGTGATGATAAAATAGTACAAACGAGCAATCTTTGTATACTACATTTGATACATTAGAATTAATTACTAATACATGAATTTAAGCACTATTAAAATTTCTAGATACACGAATATAAATAAATTCATTTATAATAACTATAAATTCATGTAGATCAGGATTCATTGAGTATAGAATAATGTTAATTAATTAAGAATTAGTAACACGAAATTCATGCATGATAAGAATTTTGTAGTATTTATTATATATTGAAAAACAAAAAGTAATGTATTATTGAAATAATTGAATTGTAGTAGGGTTAAAATCGTCAAAAAAATGATTTTCACATGATGTGATATTTAATATATTATAGATTAACCCCACTTGATTATAAGACAATAACCAATATAAGAGTTATTATTTTGGCATATAACACTATTTTTCATCCCGATTCATGCTAGAGCCTCGCTTCTAAACTAATCCTCTTCGCCCATATGCCCTCCAAAAAAAAAAAAGTTTATATTTACGGACTAATTTATAAATTGTCAAATTTTATTTTCAATTATACATTTTAATAAATCCATAAATAATATACACCACTCATTTTTATCTAATTTTAAATTATTTCCTAAAAAATTATTATTTACAATACATATTACAAACTAAATATAAATATAATCTTCAATTATAGAAAAATCCATCTATACGGTTTCATTTTTGACTTGTGTGTTTGATTGGATTTATTTACCACGAAATATATAAATTTTCACTTTTATGGTGTTTGATTGACAATTTATTTTTTATAAAAAATATTTTTCAATTTTTGGTTATATGACAATTTTTTTTAAAAAAAAAAAATAAGGAAAACATTTTCTTTAGGGAGAGATTTTGATTTTTCAGTTAATTCACTATATCTTTCTCTCTTTTATCTATTCTCTCTCTCTTCTATTCACCAATAAAAAATAGACAAATATAATATTTTTAAATTAAAAACTAAATCAATGAAATACATTTAATTAAGAATTTCAATACAAAAAAGTTTTAGGCAATTGTCTAAAATTTATTTTATTTTCATGCAAATTTCATGCTCGCAAACAAAGTAACTGTAAAGTTATAGTAATCGAGAATCAAAGAAATGGTTACTACTTTGTGATAGAAAAAAGATAAGAAGAATAAAAATAAAGTTAAAGTCTATGTTTGATGGGATAAACTTTAGATAAATTTCGATAAAAATTGATGAAATATGTGGTTGAAAAGTTGTGAATTTCATAAAATATATGATTAAAATTAACTTAAATTAAAAGTTAGATTTTAATGCCTATCCATGGGCAGAATTTCATCAAATATACACATTTACGAACTTTTTACTAAAATGAAGTAAAAAAAAATAAAATTACAAGAAAAGCTCAATTGAGTCGGCATGAAGGAAATTATAATTATACACTGTATGTATAAAGGCAGAGCAACCCCGCGTCTACCCTCTCATTGGTTTATATATTATTTATACAAATTAGACTTCTCTCAATCCTTTTCACATGCTTCCCATTGGCAGGAAATTCAGCAACGCAGTTGCAACACACCATCTCCTTCGTTCTTCATGTATGTATGTATGTATGTTCTCAAGGAATTTTCGGGTTTTCATTTTAAATCTGTTGATGTTGTGAGTTCCTGTTAACATTTATGTTTTTGTTATCTGATTGGATGTTGCGAAAAACCATTGAAGATATCGTCCTTTTATGGGGACATTTTCTGGGCTCTGTCCTTTCTTCTTTTGCGGATCTTCTGTTCCAATCGCATGAATGATTAACCAATATAGTGAAATTTCATTTCAAGAAAACAGTTTTTCACCAATAGTTTTTGAAGCAAGGGGTAGAATGCTATATGGGTTCTTCAGTTTTGTGGAGAAGTTCAGAACTTTTTGATCCTCTCTTGAGTTCTATCATTTTTTTTTGTAAAGCTAGGCTTTAATTGTAATAATTCATGTATTAAATTTTGTTGGTCTCTTTTCTTTATATTTGGGGTAAATGGAGTCTGGATTTCTAATTGGTGTATGGTTGACCTTGAATTTTTGGGTTTTCTTTGCTTGTCCTTTCTCTTTTCCGTCGGTTCTCCTCCTCTTCAGTTTGGAGTATGATTCTGTAATTTACTTCAACTTTTGGTTCGAAATTTAGATTCTCAGGATGTATAATTATGTTCAGTTTTTACACACGGCCCAATTTTAGTTTCCACTTAAGTTAAATTGTTACCTTTCTTAATTTTTTTACTGATCATGGATTATTTTTCATTTTTCTTTGTAGTAGAATCAGAGTTAGAGAACTTTCCATCTACATCGTAGGAGGAGGTTCAATTGGCAATTGATGTTCGAGACTTGAACCTTTTAGTTAATTCTTCTCAAATGCTAAGCTTTACTAGGGCAAGAACTCAGCAGAGATCTAATAGATCTATGTCTTTAGGAGGTGAGCGTTTTCTTCTCTTGTTTTTACCATCTTTATCTAGTTATTTTAATGCTTGGGTGGATTTGGCTAACTTATTTGTTTAGTACGCAGTCTGAGTATTTTGCTGTTGATCTGCTTGATGTTTGGTAAGTTTTTAATCAACTGTAGTTACGCAACCGTTTATTCCCCCTATTTGCAGGCATGGATTGTGCAGACCCAAAGAAGAAGAACAATATAGTAGGGAAACTTATAATGGCTGCTACTCTCACAGCAATGTGTATTCTTATGCTTAAGCAATCCCCAAATTTTAATTCCCCTAGCCAAGTAAATCTCTAGACTCTCATCTTTTCTATGTTTAGTTTTGTTGTTAAGCTTCTTAAGAAAAAAATCGAAACAAAAAGAAATAAAACTACCTTTTCTTTATTTGCATAGCCGTTATCACTATGTTTATTCCTCTTCTCTTAACTTTTTTGATTTTGGGTTTAATATAAGACCTTATAGTTAGAGATTCAGGCCGCGACTTATGATATCATGTCAAGTGGTCAACTGGAGGTCTCGTTCATTCACAATACAGTTTCTTATCTATGTTAGTAAATAACTGCATTTTGAATTTTTGAGCACATTTCCTGCCTGGTTGTTTATGCATAGTAGTATGCTTTGCTGATAAAGGTTGTAATTATATATAGAGTTGGATTTAACTTGAAGCACTTCATGATTTAGGAATGGAATTCTTTTATGAATACATTGAAGTCTCGATCAATTGTTAAAGTTCATAGTCGTCCCAGTGCAGTGTGTAATTAGACTTTTCTATAAACTTGTCTTCAGATTCGGTAGGTGCAGCATGGTAGATCTTAATTATGTTAAAATTAGACATCGTCCTGTCCAAATAAAATACGAAAAGGTTATATTTTAATTAATTTTGTTTGCACATTTATGCATTTAGAAGATATATTTAGAAATCCCATTTCACCAAAAGAGATTCAGTTTTATAGGAATGAAATAGAAATGAAGGATCCATATGTGTAACCTTTTGTTCAAAACTCGTGCCGAACATTGGACACACTTTGAAATTTCAAATGACTCGTTTTTGTTTTTTCCCTTGCGTCTTTGTACAGTTCTCACGTCATGAACCAGGTGTCGTTCATGTCTTGGTTACTGGAGGTGCTGGCTACATTGGTTCACATGCGACATTGCGACTTCTGAAGGACTCATATCGTGTGACAGTAGTGGTATGTTACTGACATGAATAGTTCATCTCTGTGATCATTACTGTCCATAAGACATGACCCCCTGAGAAGAGACAGAATTTTTGTTTCACAGGATAATCTCTCAAGGGGAAATATTGGTGCCATCAAGGTCCTACAGCAGCTATTTCCAGAACCTGGGAGACTTCAGTTTATATATGCTGACCTGGGTGATGCGAAAGCAGTATCCTCATTCAGCATTTGTTTTTGGAATAATTTTTTTTCAAGTGCAAGTTAAATATGGGTATCGAATTGTTACCTTGATCAATCTGTTCAGGTGCATAAATTTTTTTCAGAAAATGCATTTGATGCTGTGATGCATTTTGCAGCCGTAGCGTATGTTGGAGAAAGCACTCTTGATCCTCTCAAGTAAGCGCCTTTTGATCTTATAGTAGCCCTTTGTAAATAAGTTATAAGAGTAGAAAATGAGCCGTAAAAAATGCCTAAAAAGTAGGTGTTTCACTGATCAACTGGTCTCCTGAGATGCTGCATATAGGTTGATACCTCATAAAAGATAAGAAATTTCAAGTATATCCACAACTTGGTTGTTTTAGTGTAGCTCCGTATTTGAGGATGGCCTACAAGAAATTTATTACTTTTGTTTTCAAACAATAGAATATCAATTAAATTCCTGGGATGTAATTGAAGTTTGTACTGAGTTGGTCCATCTTGTTACTGATCGTTGACCTAAGCTCATTCTAGAATTCCCCCACCCTGTCTTGAGCAAATGGGTATAGGTATTTTTTTTGTGTGTGAGCGCCTGAGACAAGTAGAGGTGGATGGGAGGTGGGCGGGTATCCATCACACTTTCTTGGCTTGTTTCGTTTGAAACTTTGAGGGTGATATGTTTAAACTTTGCTAAAGTGATAAATGTAAATTTTTATAGTTAAGTCTCACTTTAGCGTTTGTTTGGCTCATGTTTATAAACACTCAAGTCACTTTTTATCCACACGGACTCAAAAATAGTACCCACTCATTTCTATTTATGATTTAGACATTTATAAACACTTTCCAAACATGCTTTTAATTTAGTTTGAGCCATTCTGAGTCATATAAATTGCAGTTCCTGTTGATTTTTTTTTTTTAACTCTAATCATGTTTTCAACACAGGTACTATCACAATATTACATCAAATACTCTTGTTGTATTAGAAGCTATGGCGGCTCATGGAGTGAAGACTTTGATATATTCTAGTACATGTGCAACATACGGGGAGCCTTTAAAAATGCCAATTACAGAAGTAACTCCACAGGTGAAGGTTTTGCTAGGCAATAGTTGCTTATATATTTGATTTCAGTATATTATAGAACTGCTTGTTGGGACAATTTGTTAGGTTGGGACTTGGGAGTTTCCTCACCAAACAGCTCACCTTATTTTGCATTGTGCAGCTTCCAATAAATCCATATGGAAAAGCCAAGAAAATGGCAGAGGATATAATTCTGGACTTCCACAAAAATTCAGATATGGCTGTCATGATTTTAAGGTACGAGCTTTAATATTTATTATCATTTTCTATCTTACAAGAATGTATGAGCTGCCAACTTTTGATCCAAATTAAGTTTCTGTTATAGATTTGACCTTGTTGATAGTTATGTGATCATTGGGATCAATATCTTGCATAGATATTGCTTTTCTTCATGAGTAAGTTAATTGAACTATACGTATGGCAAAATTTTCCTGTATTGTCACAAGAGTTCCTTGAATCTCTAAAACTAAGATAGTGTTTTATGCCATTGAGGGTGACAGAACCTGATATTAGTTCGTTTCTCTTATCTTTTAAGCTGTGTATCCACTTTTACGTTTTTGAAATTAGGTTGTGGAAATGATATTTTCATCCAGTCATGATGAATAACATGATTAGATTTGTACAGCCAACCTCCTAATAGAGTTAACAATAGGCGAAGCTTTATAAATATCTGAAGTAAAGCCTTTCTTCAGTTCATTGTTAAACTCTCTTCCAATTCTAACCCTTTCTGAGTGAAAACGTCATTATTTTCCTTTTGCCAAGTATGGGTTCTTGCCTTTCCAACTGTGATGCTGATAGATATTGCCATCTTACAATTTTTTTTTTTTCTCAACTATTTCTTTTATGCCATGATGGCTACGGTACCCCTTTTTAGACTCTCTCTCAAATAATTTCTTCTGATAATCTACTTTTTAAATTCAATTTTATGTTCAGATACTTCAATGTGATTGGTTCTGACCCGGAGGGAAGGCTAGGAGAAGCTCCTCGTCCAGAACTACGCGAGCATGGGCGAATATCTGGTGCTTGTTTTGATGCGGCACGTGGTATCATATCTGGGCTTAAGGTTTGTCTCTCTTTGATATTCGGATTTCGCTCTGCTATAAGTTTGCTCATAACACCTTAGAAAGAGAATTTAATTTATAGCAGGAGCACTGATAATATGTTCTTTAGAAACAATTACATCTGGCTTTTGGTTCTCGTGCAGGTTAGAGGAACTGATTACAAGACTACAGACGGCACATGCATACGTGATTATATCGATGTCACTGATCTTGTTGATGCTCATGTGAAGGCTCTGGAAAAGGCAAAACCAAGGCATGTTGGCATATACAACGTTGGTACAGGAAGAGGTATAAGACCTTATTTTCTTTGAACTTTTGTTTCCAACTGCTCCAGATTTTGTTATTGAAGCTATGTTCTTATACTTGTTATCAGGTCGATCTGTGAAGGAGTTTGTGGAGGCTTGTAAGAAGGCAACCGGGGTGCCCATTAAAGTCGATTTCCTTCCACGCAGACCCGGTGACTATGCAGAAGTATACAGTGATCCGACAAAGATCAGGGAAGAACTGAACTGGACGGCACAACATACCAATCTTCAAAAGAGTTTGCAGATAGCGTGGAGATGGCAGAAGACACATCTCAATGGGTATGGAACTCCTCAGGTGATGTCAGCATAAATGTTTACGCAGGCAGCGTTCATTGACATAGACCCCCCATTTACAGCCTATTTTTTCCCAGTTCTATTAGTGCTTGGGGGGAGGGCAGGGATTTGATAGTAGTTACTCATTTACATATATCTTCTTAAGTTCAACCACATGCCTTTTAAGAGTTTGTAGGAAGCAGCCGGTATTATTATATGTATTCGAAACAGATGTTTAGGCAATATTAGTTGCTAATGAGGTGTTATTGATTTGTTATTGTATCCTCTACTTTTGGGTTAAATCCACCCATAGCCTTCCAACTTCATATTTTGTGTCACATTAGCCACCCAATTTGATTTTTCACCATGGCCACCCAACTTCATACTTAGTGTAACATTGGCAACCCAATTAGATTTTGTTTCATTATGGCCACCAAATTTTATATTTAGTTTCAATTAAGCCACTCGATAACTTTATTTAACATAATTAAATTGGGTGGTCAATGTGACGACACTAAGTATGAATTTGAGAGGCCATTGGTGGATTTAACCCTCTATTTTTTCTAAAGAAAATTGAACCTGGGCGATGCTTGACTATTAACATCTAAATAGATGTTTTCGTATGATGAAGATATTGTGCGATATTGTGCGAATAATGTTAAAATGTAGAAGATATGGATGTCACAAATATAAAGGTCCATACGGTTGTCACCCTTTGAATTTTATTATTATTATTAGATTTCTATAGAATTTATTTGGCTTTTGGAAAGTTTCATTTAAAATAAAATTAACTTGGACCAACGCAACCACATAGAAGACTGAGGCTTAATTGCCTACCCTATGTAATAAAAAAATTAAGTCACTTTAATTAGATAAATAAATAAACAAAAAATATATAATATTTCAATATTCTTGATAAAAGAAATATCTAATGTCAATATTATCAGTATGCCGATCTTTGAAAAGTAAATAACAAGTCATTATAATTAAAACCTAACTTGAAAAATTTTCCATTTTCCATGGAAAATTAGAGCTTTCAAAAAGGGCCTAATTATAAATTATATTTTTATAAAAAAAGCTTATAAAATTTAATGACAAATTGATCTTTTATATACAAATTTAAATTGAAAATGAAAAAAATATTATAAAAATTTTTAAATTATAATCTAACCTTTTTTCGTACAAAATTGAGAGAAATAACAAAAAAGAGAAGAAAAAGAACAAATATAATTGGTAGAAAAACAATTAAAATATTTTTAATCACGACTCAGGTTTGTAGAAGGAAGGGGAAAAGATAAATAATGAAAAGACAAAAAATACATATAAAAAAAATTCTATAAAAGTGTCCTAAAATCTTGGAGTGAATGAAATACAAATTTTGAAATTTTACCTTTTGTAGTCTCTACTTAAAAGTCATACATTAGAGATTTTTGTACGACATGTTTGAGAGCCCATACTTTCTAGGGAAGATTGAAATTATCATAGCATTTTCCACATTTTGGTCAAACAGACAAAATTTTCTAGGGAATTTTTTTTTATTTGGCTCACGTGACCTCCAATTCCCCGAAATTGTGGAATTCCTTGGGCTGTGGTGGTTTTATATTTTCTCGGCAATTGAAACTGGGCTTTCCTTTTCTTCTCACGCCTTTCCCGTTCACCTTCTCCATCTCCATTATCGAAAAACCCTGAGAATCAACCAAAAAAATCACTACAAAATCCTATCATCGAAGGGGAGGAATGCGTGGATTGCACCCAGGATAACACATAAGTCGTCGGAACTCGAAAACCCTCAAGAATCCCCAATTTCAGACAATCGGGTTGCCAATTTAGGTTTGCTCTACGCCCCTTTCTCTGCTTGTGACCCAAAACAAAAAAAAATTTACCTGCCTCGATTGAACATCATGTGCAGCAATTTGCATAGCACCTATTTTGAACTGAATGGCTTTGAAATCGAAACTTGATTTCTATCTGTTGGACTTTCTCTGTTATTTCTGTTTGCTATGTGACTGTTTGACGAGCTTTCATTTTGGAATTTTGTAATCTTGAAGTTTATTCTCTTTACCATGTTCCATGCTTGTCTTCTGAAAAACTCTATGCTTGTACTCTAATTAAAAGGTTGTAGCTCTAGATAAAGAGTTTTCAAAAATGATGCTCTTTGATTTCTTAATATGTTGTTAGTACATGGTAGACTTAGGATGAAAGAGGATTAGGAAGAGATAGGTATATGATGCGTAATTATTTTTTATTTTCCTTTCCTGGCTGAACTTGGCAAATCAAATTGCCCAGTGAGGTTTTTTTGGAAATAGAATTTTCGACTGTTCTGGACAATTCTTGCCTTTTTGACAATCTATAGTAAGAATTATATCTTGTAAAAATTTGTATTCAGAGGATCTTAATTCTTAAAATGTATAATAAATCTTCCTTCTGTGGTTGTGTTTTCTAGATTCTGGTTTCTCTATTATGCTATACTAGTCTTTCTCCCGTGCGATGCAGGGTGCGATGCTCTAGAACTTGAAGACTTTTGTAAGAATTTAGATTGGATACTAGACTGTTTGACGAGCTTTCATTTTGGAATTTTGTAATCTTGAAGTTTATTCTCTTTACCAAGTTCCATGCTTGTCTTCTGAAAAACTCTATGCTTGTACTCTGATTAAAAGGTTGTAGCCCTAGATAAAGAGTTTTCAGAAATGATGCTCTTTGATTTCTTAATATGTTCTTAGTACATGGTAGACTTAGGATGAAAGAGGATTAGGAAGAGATAGGTATATGATGCGTAATTATTTTTTATTTTCCTTTCCAGGCGGAACTTGGCAAATCAAATTGCCCAGTGAGATTTTTTTGGAGATAGAATTTTCGACTGTTCTGGACAATTCTTGCCTTTTTGACAATCTATAGTAAGAATTATATCTTGTAAAAATTTGTATTCAGAGGATCTTAATTCTTAAAATATATAATAAATCTTCCTTCTATGGTTGTGTTTTCTAGATTCTGGTTTCTCTATTATGATATATTTGGAAATCAATTAACTTGAGGTACTTTGATGTTGTTAACATTTAGGATTTGGAAGTGTCTTAAAACTGAAGACATGTTGAGGTCCCAAAGGACTCACCAAATAGAGAACTCCACCTAGGAAAATAAAAATATCAGAAACGGAAATTTTTGAGGTTCTGAAAGAGAAATGATACTTAGACTTAGCATTGTCTTGGTGTTTGCCTATAAACATGGAGAATTTTTGTAATATTTGCGCTGACGTTGAGAGCTCTATCAATGAAGCAATTCTATACCCTAAAAGATCAGTCAATACTTGTTAATACAATCTTGTTTTGTAACCAGAATTTTCTTCCCCATTGTATTTATTTGTAGCCATTATTTCATATTTGTGAGACAGTTTAGTTATTGATAGTATGAATCATTAGTCATCATACTTATATTAATTTTTTTTAAGAAATAAAATTGTGTTGGAAAAAAAATGTAAATTAATGAATCGTTTTTTATTATGCATATGAAAATTTTTTCATGGAAAACAAAGCCTATTAAACAATTAAAAATGGAAAAAATCATAATTTTTCATGGAAAACTAAGGCAATCAAACACCAAAAGATGGAAAATCTCTATATTTTCTGCGTGAAAAATTATACTAATCAAACGCAACTAATTGATATTTCTCGAGAAAACAAGTTCTACGCAAATATTTTCCCTGAAATTCATTTTCTTTCTACCCAATTTTTCAAGGAGCAATAAAACGGACCCTAAAATCTTTAAAGGTTATTGACATTTTGAATGCTCCATGATTTATATGGATTAAAAAAAAAAAAATAACTGAATATATTGGGACTTTTAAAGACACCAATATTTCCAGACTTTTTAAAATTTTTATATTGAATATCCATAAACTTTATAAATTCTTAAAAATATCTAAAAGTTTCAATTGAGTACATCTTGTTTATTATATATTTAAATAAATAGTGGCAATAAATTTAGTAAATTTCTGAAAATTTGGTCTACTCTTTTGTAAACGTTCGCTTTTAATTCAGAAAATTGATATTATAGATAGCAGTAGTATTAGAACAAATAGTAATGTTAAGATTCATGATTAGTGATGACAGTAGGCATCATATGTGTCAATTTGTTATTGAGTATTAACTTGTTATTTGAGGTAATAAAATTACAAGAAATTAATACTTTAAATAACAAGCTGTCACATATGATGTCAAGTATGACACCTGCTATAATCTCCGACTATTAATGATATTATTATTAGATCAAAAGGATCAACGTTTGCAGAACTCATCTTGACTTTTCGACGATGTAAATTGAATTGAGATTTCTTTGTGTATGGATTTTTCGTGTAAATCTCAAAGCAACTAATATAATGAGTAGAATATTAAGTACTTGTTTGATTCAACTAAAAAAGTTGATTAAAATTTAAATCAAATTCAATAATTAATTTTAATAACACATTTTATGGAACTAATGACTTTTCAACCATATGTTTCATCAAAATTGAATTAAAATTTACTAATTCAACCATATGTTTAATCAACTAAAAAAGTTGATTAAAATTTACTAATTTTTTTTTTACTTAAATTAAACATGGACTAAATATGATTACAACGAACAACATAAAATGAGAGAGAGAGAGAGAGAGAGAGAGAGAGAGAGTAAAATGGTTATTTATGTCCTTTTATTTTATGATCATCTTAGTAAATGAGAAAATTATTAAAAACGTGGTGTAACAAAAAGTTTTTTAGTGACAATTATTAGTATGTTCTTTTTGTAATGCCGATCCCAATAGACCCATTTAATCCTAATGTTATTTTTTTTGACATTAATAAAAAGTAAAAAGAAAAAAGACGACACAATTAAAACATGATGTCAATCGGAATGAGTCAATCACTTTGACACTTGAATTTACGTGAAGAGTAATTCTACAAGTACAGAAAACGTATTTATGGAAAGTTACAGAAATTCAAATTTGATGAAGTGGCAGGCAAAAAGCTGTGGACTCTAAAATAAAACAAAAAACCGGGTCAAACCAAAATTCGGCCTCATAAAGATGAAAAAAGCTGAAAATTGGATAATCTTTTTCCCCCAAAGGTCTCTCCCGCCTCCCAGCTTTCTCCGTCCCATTTCCTCCGCCTCCGACCACTCTTCCGGCTAATCGAGGAAAACCCATACATCAGCTTTCTCCGTCCCATTTTCTCCACCTCCGACCACTCTTCCGACTAATCGAGGAAAGCCCATACATCATCACCGAATTTGGAGACAAGCTTCAAGAAAAATAGATGACGGACAATGGTATTTTCCACATTTGGTTAGACATGAATTTCCAAATTTCAGTCTCTATTACTCTGTCCATAATATGGTATATAGGCCCCCCCACCCCCTACCCCTATCCCTACCTCAAGAAGGGACCTCTCCATTTTTTGCCCATTAAGTTGAAAACGTGTTATATGCTACAATGTCAAGTTAGTTATTATAAGATTTGTTAACATATTTGTTGCAACCAATGTATTTCTATTGCCTGTAATATGAAGTGGTGGTGAATTTTGTGGGTCAATTATAATTCTCAGTTTTTAATTTATGAATTATTTTTGGGTGTAGGTAGAATAGTTATGAAGTTGTTTTGTAAAGTCATATATGGGAGTTAATTAAATCACTGGTCATCAACATTTGCATCTGGTTACTACTTACTCACCCTGAAAAATAATCATACAAGAAAAACATTACGAGATCCAAATGGACCCATTTAATCCTAATGTTATTTTTTTTGACATTAATAAAAAGTAAAAAAAAAAAAAATACGACACAATTAAAACATGATGTCAATCGGAATGAGTCAATCACTTTGACACTTGAATTTACGTGAATGTTTAATCGCGTTTGTGTCGAATATGACATTAATAGAACTATCAGAATCTCTAATACGTAAATTATCTAACTTAATAATTAATTGGATCATAAAAATATTTTAACGATCAATTTATTTTTATTATTATGATTTTTTTCCTCGAACTTAAGTGAGCATTAGTGAAATAAGCTAATTCCATAATTCTCAATGGTGTGTTCAACGTAATTAAAGACAAACATCGTAGGCATTTTAGTCAATGAATGTTTCCAACGGCTAGTATACCCTGGCCAGCTATTTGATAAGTGGGATTTCAAACACGATTCCCGAGGGACAGTAGTAGCGGACCCACCCACTCACTTCCCGGTTGCACTGTGCCCAAAATCTCTCCCAAAACTTTCAAGAATTCTTCAATCCCATAAACCACCCACTCACAGAATCTAGCAAGAATTCATCAGTTACCTGTTTTCCAAAATCATGAATCTTAACATTTTCAAGAAGAAAACTTCACCCAAAGGTAAACCCTATTCTCTTTATTTTCCCTTTTTCCTTTTTGGTGTTTATCAGTTTCACTTAAAGAGCAGGGAAAGGTTGTTCCTTTTTCCTGGGTTTTATGAAAATCGCAGGCATGGTGGTTTTTCTGTACTTGATTCGTATTTGGGGAACTCTCAATTTCTTTTTCCTTGTTATGTCACCATATTTTTAGCAGATTTTAAGAGAGTAAATTAACTCTTGTTCTTACCTTACCTTTACCAACTTTTTTTCCTCCAGAAATAACTTTTTCTGTGTGCGGGCTGCGGTGGGGTGGGCTTGGGGTAAATGTATTAGATGGATTAAAAGAATACGATTAATGCAAGTTTGATATCTAACAGATGCACTGCGGACCAGCAAACGGGAAATGGCGGTGGCCACAAGAGGTACTTCTAGCTTATTGCATTTATACATTGATTTGCCTGGATCCTTGTGAGTGCACACAAAAAGCTTGTACCGTGAATAATTTTCTTTGGATAGAATTTGGTTACAATAAATTGAGGCACCAAGAACACAATATTAAACAAAAAATACTAAAGAACACAAAGATATTCCGGTCGTAGCAGTTCAGTAATCGCTTCAAACACTTAATGAGAGTAAAGCTCTCAATTTGTATGAGATAGCCCCAAAACCAGCATCCAACAGCCACCAACATAACATATGTCGATCATCCAAGTAAAATCAAGATTAGTTAATAAAACGTGTTTCAATAATGCGTTTCATCAATTCCAGAAGCTTCAATTGGATCAAGCACAATTGGGCTGGGTTAAGCATACGAGTCATTGGACCATCATCAATTATTCTTGGGCTCGACTATTTCTTCAACCCTAATTATCCTTCACAATCTTCACCTTTGCTACAACTGTGAGACCATATGAGAGTGGATTTGAGACGAGCCAGCATAACTTCATATGCTTTCTTACCTGTTACAAAAGAGAAAGAAAATTAGTAATGTTCAAGGTTCAAGAAGCCTAAAGAATCCTTAAATTTATTTAAAGGTATCAGCTTTGTACCTGCATTTGTTGGCATAATCTTAGTTGGAATTTTAGCTACCTTTATATCACCTCTCTTTCAGTTAAATTTCTAATAAAATGATACTGTTGACCTCAAAAAATGTTCCAATAGAATCCCGACTACGTCCCCTCCATGTGAGCATCAAGTCAACCGTCAAACGAGAGAAAATATGAGCGCAAGAGATGGGAGAGGGGATTTGGATAGGGTTAGAGAACATCATACCTTATTGTGAGATGAACTCACATCTATATAAAGAAATAAATGAGCCAAGTGTGCATGATGGGCTAAGCTCCAAGCCCAATATGAAGCTGCTTGATTAAATAGGCCAATCCAATTCCAAGATGCTATTATTTAATTAAATAGGTCCAATCAATTGAATAGTCGATACCACGTCGGCATTTATGAGATCACTCCGTTACGCGCATGTCACATAATTTATAGGTGTAACAATAGTCTTCCAAGTCTGAGTTGTACATTTATGTGCAAGTCAGACTTCGAAATATAAGTAGTTAAGTAGGCGATGTCATATTGCCTCAGAATATAAGCAGCTCCAATATATGAGGGCTTACGAATTGCTATGAAAATATGCATAGATCCTAAATGTATGCCGGACGTGCGAATTGCCTCGAGAGTATAAGCCGCTCCAATATATGAGGACTTACGAACTGCTCGAAAACATCAATGTGAGTCTGAATAAGCGAGGGCTTACTGATTGCCTCGAAAAATGTCGCATATAGTTTTTCAAAATTTCGACATCATCTTCTCTATAATATGGACTAAATCAACCTGTAATACAATAGAAAATATCCATTGCACATGTACAAAATAAATTGCGGTCCATTTGCTCCTCCAAATAATGACAATAAAGAGAAATAGTGATAGTTTAAATTTTTCCAAAATATAATGTGCAGAGGGTCTATCATGCGTCGTAGTAAATCATATGCTTGCACAGCTCAGTGTAACAGTATTGCTGATGTGAAGCAACATGATAATGTAGATAACATGACATACATACTAGGTAAAGGCTTATACTTCGGGAAAACTACAAGAAAAGGCATTGAAGTGTTTATTGATGCTGATTGGATAGTGTCAACTGACAGAAGGTCAACATCTGGTTATTGTACATATGCATTGGGAAACCTAGTAACCTAGGGAAGTAAGAAACAATTGGTAGTTTCTCGAAGTAGTGCCGACGGGGAGTTCAGAGTTATGGCACTCGAAATTTACGAGGAAATATGGCTGAAAAGACTACACGCCGACAAGTTAACAAATAGCAGATATCCTTACTAAAGCTCTACCAATTAAGAATTTTAAAGATTTGAGTACCAAGCTTGGCTTGATTAACATCTATGCCTAGTTTGAGGGGGAGTATGGAAATATTAGATCCCTGATTATTAGGGATATAGCTGCAGCTATTAGGATTTTATTATTTAACTACGTTAATTTATGAATAATGAGATTTGGGAAGATTCCTGTTATCTCTATTCATTTGTTTCGTGTTTATAGTTTCCTATATTTGTTAGTTTTCTTATTTTGTGTAAACTAATTTATTATTACTGAATATAGTGAACGGAATTTTCCTTCCTTCCATTATATATGGGTTGAATGTTTATCATTGAAAAATATAAGAATAACTTCTTTGTTCTTCTTCTCTAAAATCTTCACTTTTCTTAAAGTTTAGACCTTGAATATAAGAGTTAAATCTCTTACACCACTGTCTAGATACCTGTTTAACCATATAAAGATTTTTGTAATAAGTACAACTAAGGGTGTACCCAAATTCTTACTTTTGGGTGTTTGATTGACATTTTTTTCATGGAAAATATTTTTCGAAAATTGGTTACGAGACCGTGTTTTCCTCAAAAATAATGAAAATATGTTCTTTAGGGAGGGGGTATGTTTTTATCTTCAGGCAATTCTCTCTCTCATCTACCCACAAAAAATGGACAAGTACAACATTTTCTAAATTGAAAATTAAACCAATCAAACATATTTAATTAATAATTTTCATACAAATAAGTTGTAGACAATTCAATTGTCTAGAACTTATTTTCTTTTCGTGCAAGTTCCATGTTTGCAATTAAACACACCTTAATTTTTTTTCTTATTTTCAAAACCTTTAGACTGAGTCATGTATAGTTTTATCTAGAGAACCATATAGAAATTTCACGTCAAGTTGTTCTAGATCTAAATCAAATTGTGTAACAAGATCAAAAAGTATTCTAATAGAGGTATATTTTAGAGCAGGTGAAAATATCTCAATATAATCTATCCCTTCTCTCTGAGTAACATTTATCTACAAGTTTTGCTTTATATCTCCTATCATCTTCTTCCAGCTCACATTTCTTTGATTTTGTAAGCCCATTTGCTATCTATAAGTTTGTTGTCAGTAGGCTTTTCCACTAAGGTCCAAGTTTGATTCTTATTTAGTGAGTTCATTTATTCTTCCGTTGCTGCAAGCCACTTACAGGATTCTTTACTAGAGATAGCTTCTTCATAAGAATCACGTTCTAATGTAAGTGGATCAGATTCTATCTGTGCATACTCATAATATGCATGTTGATATATTGAATGAGGTCTTATTTTCCTTCTTTCTCTATCTCTAGCCAATTGGTAATTCTGAAGATCATAAACAAGATTTAATCTGAGGTTCAGTTTGAGGTTGCTCCACCTCAAGCTGAGTTTGGTAATTCATGTTTTGTCATTCAAATTAATTTATGTTATAACAAAATCTATTTCATCTAATTTTTCTCTTGTTTTATCACTAAGGCAAGGAAAATATTCTTTACTAAAGATAAAAGATCTGGTTATCATGACTTAAAAACATTTACACTCTTTTATCCATATAACTTGTATCCTTTAACCACTTCCCCATAACTAAGATCTGGGATCTAGTTTTGATTCAGTCTAATGTGTAAATGCAGCACTTCCAAAGGTTCTCAGGTAAGAATAATCAGGAACTAATCATGTCCAAACCTATTTTGGTATTTTATAATCCAAGGCACTGGAGGGGCTCCTATCTATCAAATAACATGCAGTTTTTGACGGCCTTCCACCAAAATAATTTTGGTAAACCAGAAATGATGAGTGTATGGTATGGCCTTTTCTAGAATGGTCTTATACATTATTTCAATAATTCCGTTTGTTGGGAGTGTGTAGGTCTCAGTTCTATGCCTTCAAATACTATATCTGTTGGAGTACTTATCAAATTCAGTATTGCAGAACTCAAAGTCATTGTCGGTTCTTAATATTTTTATTTTTGTTAAAATCCCGAGATGATTGGAACCATGATTAGAAAGAATTATTGAGGATTCCACTTTCCATAGAAGAATATATCCATTGATATTAGAGATTATAGGAGATTCTCTAGATTTGTATTTTTCTTTTATTGTCTTATGACTTGTACTATATAAATAGGAGGCTTGTATTGTACATTAGGAGCGTGAAATAAGAATAATCTTTTTCCCAATTCTATCTTCAATTTTCTTACCTATTTGATTTTCTATTAGAGTTTTCCAATCTTTAAAGGTTGCAAAAGTGTCTCACTTTTGACTTTAATAAGAAAATCCATACTTTTTCTTGAAAAATCATCATTGGTAAGGAGATAATATTTGCATCCTGACACAATAGTGACATGTGCAGGACCTCACAGGTCACTGTGAATGTATTCTAATACTTCTGAGTTGTGTATACCAATTTGAAATGGTAATCTATTTTGTTTATCCAAAATACAATTTCCACAAAAGGTTAATTTTTGAAAATTGTCTTTCCTAAATAATACTCCTTTGATTTTCTATTAGAGTTTTCCAATCTTTAAAGGTTGCAAAAGTGTCTCACTTTTGACTTTAATAAGAAAATCCATACTTTTTCTTGAAAAAATCATCATTGGTAAGGAGATAATATTTGCATCCTGACACAATAGTGACATGTGCAGGACCTCACAGGTTACTGTGAATGTATTCTAATACTTCTGAGTTGTGTATACCAATTTGAAATGGTAATCTATTTTGTTTATCCAAAATACAATTTTCACAAAAGGTTAATTTTTGAAAATTGTCTTTCCTGAATAATACTCCTTTGAAAGAAGTTGTAGGCTTTTTTTCACTACTAAGTGTGGTTAACGTGCGTTGCACGTTAGTTGTTTAATATTGAAAATAAATTAAAGATATGTAAATTTTAGAGAAATTCATTCGTAAACATTAAAGATATTCATCAGGTGGCGGGGGTCGAGGGACAACGTCCTTGACGGGGTCAAGTCGTGGGGGTCGAGGGGGCAGCGCCCCTCGTGGGGATTCGTGTCTCCGTAGTGCACAGAGACATGGGTGGTGTCTTTTTTTTTTTTAATATAGAAGTCATGGGAAATAGGAAAAGTTCTAATGTACTCTCAAATCTGAGAAATGAAAAAATATTATTCTTAACATGATGAAACATTATGATGGATTCTAACATAAAATACTCAAATTAAAATGCCTAACTATCAATCCAAACAGGTTGATACATTACTCTAGATAAACAACATGCATATAAAATATTATTATGAACATTAAATAGGAAATGCTTGAGAGAAATGAACAGACATTCTTATAGAAGAATGTGTTAAAGAAATGTCATTTCAAGAGCTTCTGTGGCTCTCTTTTTTCCCTTTCTTTCAATAACTTTAGATACAAGTTAATGACCTGTAAGGCAAGAAGAGTGAGAGCAGGGCAGACAAAAGTCATCACAACCATCCTGCTTTAGCTTTGGTTGCTAACTAAAATCCTTTTAAATTTTCCCAACAACACACACACCAAAAAAAAAAAAAAAAAAAAAAAAAAAAAAAAAAAAAAAAAAAAAAAAAAAAAAAAAAAAAAAATATAAAAAAAAAAATATAAAAAAAAATAAAAAAAAAAAAAAAGACAAAATTACCTCATCATTCAACCATGCACCTGGTTTTAAACACTGCAATTTTTCTCCAGTGATATCAATATTAGAATTTTTATGACTCAGCAAAGCCTTTCTCTTGCATAAATCGAGTAGCAACAAAATGTACAACAATTGAATTGATACACAGAAATTGAATCCAATTAAAGATGAAGTATTGCAACAAAAGATACCTATTGGAATTAGACAAAGCCCAAGCAACCTCAGTTTCTTCCTCCACAGTAATAGGCATAAAATATTCTTTGGACACATGCTGCAAGTCAATGAAACCCATTATACGGAAATAAATAAAACGAACAATTACACTCAGATACAATATAATTCGGAGGGTGTGATTTCAAAAAATGTCTCCTTATTAGTTTCTTCCACTTGCTTAGGAGGCCAAAGTTTCAATCATTATTTTGAGCAATCTCTTTCTCAATCTCATATGTCAGACAATGAGAACTTCGAACCCTACAAAAAAAAAGGGAAATTTCTTGACAATATTAGAGCAGAGAGAAGAACTGAGGGAGAAAAAAAAGAAGAAAAAAATGAGAAATCTTATGATATGGATCAGGAATAGAGGAGTAAAGAGGTATGATTGGTTGAGTGGAAAAATGGAAAAAGAGCAATGGCGTGTTAGATTTGTGGGGGAAATGGAGAAAGCGTGTGGGGAAACGGCGGAAAAAAAAATAAAATTGAATTTTGACGGCGATAGGAAATCGTGACACGTGGCGTGCCAATGTTTTGCCTCTTTTATTTTATAGTGAAGATGACCTAACCTCTTATGCCACCATAAATGTGATTATAGCTCTTTAATTCTCATACTCATTTTTCACCCTATACTATTTTGCACTAAATCCAAAAAAAATTCTTACTTTTTAACCACACATTCTTCAAAAAAATTACTATACAAAATGTCATTTTTTCAAAATAATGGCCATCAAACAATGGCTAAATAAGTAGCCTGAATGAAGAATCCAATTTTGATCATGTTCTTCCTTTGAAGAGACATAGGTTACTCCAATATTGGCTCCTGCTTCTTTATAAGTAGCAAAGGAACCATTCTTATTCTGAGACTCAACCTTTTGGTCAATAATCCTCTTAAAGCAATGTTAAAGTACTTGAAGGCTGTTGATAAATACACAGGGAAGGACCATCACATCCATGCAGTAGGCGGCGGCAATTTAAACTTGTTCTCTCTCTTTCATTCAAATATTCAACTCAACATAGAAGGCTTTCCTCAACGAGATTGTTCTCTCAACCACGAGTAAAAATATAATGAATCAATCAAGGAGTTATTAAACCTTCTCCTTTTCCGGAAATAGACTTGTGCAGTCACATTGAAGAGGAATAGAAGCTTCTAAAAATTTTCAAATATATAATACGCACTGCCTGCTTTATCCCTTCATATCTACCTGCTTTAGTTTTTTATTCACACATTGATTCCGTACCGTCGCAGGCATTGAACGCGAGATTGCATCTTTACAAATGGAGGTATGTTGTTTGATGTTCTATTCGTACTAATGCCCCCTACATCTACCAGGTAACGGACTTGTTTATATAATTTTATGAGAAAGTCGCTTCTATGTTCATATTTCAGGAGAAGAAATTAGTAGCAGAGATTAAGAAAACAGCTAAAACTGGAAATGAGGTAAGTCTTGGATGAATTTTATTTTTTGTTTATTTAGTATATATGTTTTGCACTGTTCAAGTGATATGGGACTAGTTGTATTATGAAAATCTAGAAACAGTGTCGAGTTCAGCATATGATTGCTGGGTAAAGCCTTGAGTTCTCTGGTTTCCCATATCATGTGTCCTATAGTACGTCTTTTTTCAAGCTGTATGGCTGTGTCCTTCAATACTTCAGAAATTAGAAGCTCAACTTTAGCACTTTCCACACCCAAAGACCTCCATCAAGAGTAATGGTAAGTTTCAGATTTTGATTTCTGGGTTCCTTGGATGGAAATAAGGAGTAGGGTCTTGTTGGTACCTGATGCTATATGATTATATCTAATTCTGGGTGCTCTTTTTCCTCTACCTTTTAACATATCATTTTAGTTCTGCAGTTCAGATAATTGTATGAACTTCTGTGCCTTCAAAATAGCCAATTTGAATATTTAATTTTCTGTAACCAACTAATTTTATGTCAACCAGGCTGCCACCAGAATTTTAGCTCGTCAACTAGTTCGTTTGCGGCAGCAAATAACGAATTTGCAAGGAAGTCGTGCCCAGATCAGAGGCGTGACAACTCATACACAGGTCACCCATATTGACATGCTGCTTTGGAAGAAATATATTGGTTTTAGAAAAGATTTGAATCATCTGTATATGATCTGGTGCTTTTTTCCACCTTTTAATCGTAGTTTGCTACTTTAATAGGCCTTGTATGCCAGCACTTCAATTTCAACGGGAATGAAAGGTGCAACCAAAGCAATGTCTGCCATGAACAAGGTATACATTTGAAGCATTACATTACACATATCTGTTCAGCTCTGTTGTGATTAATCAATGTTCATTGGCCTGCCTATATGAGGTCTAAAAGTCATTACAGTTGTTATTCATGAATAATCTTCTGATCTTTCTAATTTAGTCAGTTGATGACTGACATAGTTATATAGTTCTGCTGTAGCATTTAGGCTATATGGTTTAATGCTTAATATTTTTCACCTAGATGAAGCAGCCCTGCAAGTTGAGTAGTAGGGTGCTTCTATTTTGTGACGGGATAGAGAATACAAACTAGATTTTTATTGGCTTGTCAATAAATTTATTTTTCACATTTAATTTTTCAGCAAATGGCACCTGTGAAACAAGCTAAAGTGATCAAAGAATTCCAAAAACAGTCAGCACAGATGGACATGACGGTAAACTTCATTGCTCAAAAATCATTTTTTTAATATGGAACGTTATTTTTTTTAACAAGAAGTAGTTATGTATAAAAATACATTTGTTTGTAAAGAGTGTACTGATCTGATTTTCTATCTAGATTGAAATGATGTCGGAAGCTATTGACGAGACCTTGGACAAAGATGAGGCTGAAGAAGAAACAGAAGAACTTACTAATCAGGTGCTAAATAATAATCCTTTTGTTTTTTCTTTAAAATGTTGAACTCTATTCAGGTCCATAAACTCTGTTCATTGTTTTTCCTTGTAGGTGCTCGATGAGATAGGCGTTGACATTGCATCACAGGTTGGTTCCGCGAGTTTGATTAAGCCAATAATATTTTGTCGTTGACTTATGTTACCGTTAAAGATAAAAGAAAAAGGAAACTGAAAGGAAAACCGAATCTGATCATCCTGCCTTGTTTCTCTGGACAGTTATCTTCAGCACCGAAAGGTCGGATTGCATCAAAGAAAGTTGAAAATAATGTTGTCCCTAGGTATGTTTAGTAATTTTTGCTTGCCTTAGAGAAAAGATTACTGATTTATAACTTGTTAATGTTCGTTCTTACGATGACTTTTCAGTTCTGCATCTGCTGATGTTGAGGACCTCGAAAAGAGGTTGGCATCTCTTCGACGAATATGAGATCGACAAGATAAAACAAGGTCCTCTCCTTAGTTACTTTACCACACTATTGTATGTTTTGGTTTGGTGGATTGAATGGTATTTGACAAAATTATTTAAGCATGAAAATTTAAAATCTTGTTTATTTTACTTTGTCTAGTCGTCCATGGAAACTAATGCTCTGATCTTCCACAGAATATGAATGGCCAAGAAATCATGGAATACTGGGACACTTCTCTTGTAAAATATACGTATATCTAGTTTTTTTAGTATATTCATAAAAAAATTCTGAAAACAAGACGACCACCGTGTCTTTTGGTACTATTTAATCCTATCTAGTATTGTATATTAAGCGTATCAATGTTACCAGATACTTGTCTCGTATTATTAATTACTTCATTTTTATAGCTGCTTATAAATAACCAGATTTGATAAAGTTAAAGTGAACAGAATCTCTCATTGTATTTTTAAGGCTATCCCATTGGATGGAGGGGTATTGTTTCTAATTGAAAGAAATTGTCTTCATAAATATTCTTAAATAAAATTATATTTTTGTAATTTATATTTTTTTATTACAATTTATAATTACTTGTTCTGCCAAGTTCTAGATGTCACTATTAGCTCCCGTTAGGTGCCCGTTATTTTAAAACTTTTTTTGTTACAAGATCATTTTCAACCATACATTTACACAATAAAATATTCTGCACGTAAGTTCAATTTTATTTTTTTTAAGTTTTTAGTCATACATTCTCGCGAAAGTACTATTCAAAACCCAGACACTCTCTCTCAATAATGGACACCAAATAGGGTCCTAATCAAAAGCGCCTCTCCACAGATTGCCTGCGCCTTTTACCAGAGCTGTTGTAATATTGGTATGTTAGCTTGAAAAATAGTGTGTATAGGCTTGAGAAAAGAAGAAAAAAAGATTAAGACCGGAGCTGTTGTAATAAGTTTGTATATATTTTATTAAAAAATTAAGACCAAGATTACAATGAGGATTGCAAGAGTACATATGTCATTAACAAATGATAATTAATTTATAGTACTCTCATTTGAGTGACTATTTACATAATAACTATCTTGTTAAAAATTATGTTTGATAAAAAAATCAATTGGACAAAAATATAAAATGAAGGGAAAAAAAATACATGAGTTCATTAAAAACTAGTAAGAAAATTCGATGGGACAAAAGTTGAGTGAAGAAAAAATAGTACAGTTACTCTCTTGAAGTATCAAGTAATTCTTGTCTTGTACTCCAATATATTCAATGTAACAATTTTAATGAAGAATGTATCATGTTGTCTTGTTATAGCTTTCAAGTAATGTTATCTTCATACAAGATATTTATCAATCATTGATGACCAGAGTCAACATATGATAGTTTGATGAACAATAGATCCTGTTGTTACTCTTTAAAATTCTCGTACAATTTGTAACATACTAGAGTAAAATCGTAAGATTATTTTGATGGTAAGTTTTTGCAAGTTATATTCATTAAAAAAAAAGAAATAATTGGTTAAACTTACTAAGAAAAGCACGTGGAAAAAATTTTAGCGAAGAAAAAATAGTACATTATTTTTTTGAAACTGAAAATTGTCTTATTAAAAGTCTTGTTAGGAAAACCTAGAGAGATAAAATCTTGATTAAGAAAAAAAAAGTAAAACATGTATTTACTCTCCATAAAAATTATATTACTTAAATTATATGCTTCAGACATATTAAATCATTTGGAAATAGTATTAATTGTCATGCAAATGAGTGGGCTATAATTACATTTGTTATACGCATTTCATATTTCATGTATTATCGTGATAACACGATATAGGCTTGTGATTGCATCCACAATATGATAACTTATTTATTGATACTAGTCTTTGCAAAATTCATTATGTTAAGAGTTGTGCATTACATATTATGACTTTATTTTTCTCATTTCATTTTCACGTAAGTATACGCATTTAAGTGTTCATGCCTAAAAACTTCAGGTTTTTCTGATAAGTTCAATTTTGCTAGAACAAGTCTTTTTATTTGGCTAGCTATTTCTACGCTGGTATGCTTCAACGTCGGTATACTTTAACATTTCCTTCATTATTCTCATCATATATTTATAATATGAAACATTACATTATATACAAAAGTTTTGTTAACAACTTTTTTTATCAATTCCTTTTTTATTTATTTATAATGACATAACTTAATAACATATCTCATTTTTTCTTATTTCAAGTACCTGAATCTTTTCTGGAGTTTTATAATTTGTTATCTTTATATACTCACTAATACACCGTCTTTACTATTTGCTCAATTTTCATGATAAACCAATCATGCATCAATTTCTAAACAATAAAAACAATTCTTGATAAGA